TGAGCTACTGTACAACTCAACACTCTCTTTGAATTACCGCTTTCATGTGTCTTATTTGCATCTGCAGTGTCAACTCATTTTTATGGAGAGAAATGCTGAATGTTGGTGCAAATATGCAATTTTTGTAAGGAGCTTCTATAAAGTTTTTTCAGAACTAACAGGGTTGAAGATAGGTTGACGATTCTTCAGGTTTACATACATTTTTACTTGAGAAAACTACCATTCTGATTTGCACAAATAAATTATAGTTTCCCCTATTTTTTTTTTTTTTATTTTTTTTTTTTTTTTTACAGTGTCCTGTCTGCAAGGTGGCAATGTGAATAATTGTCTTGATGCCCAAAAGGGGCCCCAACAGATTTTACTTTCACAAGTGTAGCGGTATCGCAATTGCCATACCGCTCCACTTGTTTCATGTATATAAATTGCTTTATTATAATTATGCAGGGAGTTTTACAGTTCATATGGACACTGCAATGTAAGTAGAGCAGAAAAACAGAAGAAGAAGAAGGAAAAAGAAAAAGAAAAAAACAGGACAAAAGATGAAAGAAAGAGGAGATAGGAAGGAGACAATGACAAAACATTTTCAGTCTGCTTCAACACCTGTAATGAGATGGAGAAAAAAAAAAAAAAAAAAGAAAAAAGAACAGCACAACCAAAAAACATGGTATGAGATATACAATAAAGCAAACACCTTGAAACTATCACTAAAGTAATATTATTAAGTCTGACATGTACTCTGTGTTACCTGAAGATATGAATGTGGGGTTTCTGTTTGGAAGTGAATCTCTAAGTACCTGAAGCCTAGCACCTGTAGTTGTTTGTGAGGGTGAACTTGTGCATGTAAAGTTTTAACCATAGAAAAAAATGCTCAATAGTGGTTGTGGAGAGCCGGAGAGGCACACCCCCCAGAGCACTGAGTCCAGCGCCGGGAGACCCAAAGCCCCAGGCGCCCAAGGGGACCCCAGAAGCGAAGGCACCAAGGCGGGGCCAGCCCCGGAAATCAGACCCCACCAAGGCAGGAGGAGAGACAGCCACGAGGAAGCCCCCCAGCCACCGCCATGCCGGCGCCCCGGGGAGCCGCGGGGACGAGTCCGCGGGCCCCGCCGGCAGCCGGCCACCCCGAAGTAGGGCCGGGCGCCGAACACCAGCCCCCCCACGGCGCCGACCGAAACGCCCCAGCCCCACAGAGCACCGAAACACGCCCCGCCC